AAAAATAAAAAAAACTCAAGCTCACTGAAGACAAGTAAACAGTCAGTGATTAAATAAGAATAGGAAACTAATTACAAGCAATAGGATAAAAAACCTACAGTAGAACATAAGAAATGCTACATACATTGTATAAGGTAATCAAATGCATAAAAGCACTGCATATTCTTTACTGTGTAAATTAAATACATATTTATTTTTATTAAAGTTATAAAAGTGATTTAGTCAAGAGCAGTTAGAGATTTTCTCTATTTTGTTGTTTGATTAACATGAATGACAGACAGCAGGAATATTAGACTGCTGTCACTTTAAGAACTGCCTGGATCCAATATACTGTTATTACACGCGTTTTCTCTCACAGCTGTTTGCATTCACTTAAGACCTAAATTACTGTGATTAAGAGGATACTTGCAAAGATGGCCATTTTGACACATACAAGGGTGTATTTAACCATTCAAGCCCTATAAAGTGGCAAAAATAACTCAGTTCAATACTCCCGTGCTCTATGAGCACCGTCTTGACGTGCGTGCGCCTCTCCGACAGTGCTCAGAAAGTCTCTCAGACAGCGCATGCATATAGTGAAATGAGTTCTCTTTCGCTGCTGATTGTGTTTCAGCAGCTTAAATTCACTTATTTTTTAAAGCGCAATGCTTAAAAATGCATGCAAACGATAAGTTTTCATGACCACATAGCACAGCAAAGTCGCATGAGCATGTAACCGCGATAGAGACGATAGTCCAAAATCTCTGCCAGTTGACAAATTTCTACTGGTTAATCATGTCTACCGGTATATCACACACCCCTAATTTGTTGCATGCAAAAAAAAATTATTTATTATTGTAGTGTCTACTATATGTGACCCTGGAGCACAAAACCAGTCTTAAGTCGCTGGGGTATATCTGTAGCAATAGCCAAAAAAACATTGTATGGGTCAAAATTATCGATTTTTCTTTTATGCCAAAAATCATTAGGATATTAAGTAAAGATCATGTTCCATGAAGATATTTTGTAAATTTACTACCGTAAATATATCAAAACGTAATTTTTGATTAGTAATATGCATTGCTAAGAATTTCATTTGGACAACTTTAAAGGCGATTTTTTCAGAATTTAGATTTTTTTGCACCCTCAGATTCCAGATTTTCAAATAGTTGTATTTCGGCCAAATATTGTCCTATCCTAACAAACCATACATCAATGGAAAGCTTATTTATTCAGCTTTCAGATGATGTATAAATCTCAATTTCGAAAAATTTACCCTTATGACTGGCTTTGTGGTCCTGGGTAACATATCAGATTTATTCCAACTCTGCATAAAAACGCCGACAATGACTAGTTGTTTTTCAGACCTGTACAGTTTAATCAGGCAGTTCTAGGCTAGAATAAGCTGCAAACTGGACCAGACTTTATGCTGATAATATAGGTAGACTGATTAAAGTAATGCTCAGTTTATGTCAGCATGGAAGATTTTGATCCCCTGCAAAAGATGCACAGCTACTCCTAGAAACTAAAGTGAGAGAACAAACGCTTACCATCTTTCTGATCAGCAATCATGTTAATTTTCCGGGATATCTTAGCTGGAAAAAAGAAAACATTGTTCTGAACATATAATCAAAGTCATTCATCTGTGAAGCAATGGTTACTAAAGTTAAATAAGAATTTAAGTAAGTATTAATCAACCGGTTTAAGAGAGAAATAAGCAGGTTGAGACTAAATTTATCAGCTGGAGGATCATGATGTAGAATGAAGCCAAAGAGCATCCATGAGCCCATCAGCAGCCAAAGAGACATTTGTTCATCTAGTATGTTACAATCAGAAGCAACTCGATCTTGCCCGGAAAATTGCATTGAGATTAGTGGCAATGAAACCAGCACCGATCAAGAGTCAGAACACCAGGAGCCTCATTTCTCTCTAAAATGTCTGTCATTGTGTGTGATCGCCCTGTCTGTGATTTCAGATGTTCAGTAGAGATCTGTGTGAAAACATGATCTGATCTAAATTTTCATCATCCTGTGTATTTTTACCCTTGAAACGCACCAGAGCAGAGTAAAAGCCTGTAATGTTAAAGAAGGTTAGAAAAAAGCACTCCTTCAAGAGATACAATTTCTAAAATGATGAGAATAAAAGTTTTAATCTAAAATGTCACTGCAGTATTTACAAACCATTTAGTAAAAAAAAGATTACAAAAACTTTTTTTCTTTAGATTAACATGCACTCATGAATCATTCACTACTACTGTTGAAAACTTTGAAAGTGGTAAATACGGCTCTCAAATAAGATCTCACTGGTCCACCATTTACTGGCACACCTAACCACCAAGCAGCAGACACACAAAGCTCAAGTTCAGCTCTACTACGCACTTAAGCAAACCCATTTTAATTTGTTTGGTTAGTTCATTTGGTTAGTGCACAAGTGCCCATTAGCACAGAAACTGAGAGACCCAGACTGCTGTAATATGAACATTATACAGTACCAAAGTCATTGGCAAAAGTCTTGGATATCCGCTTGCTTGTGGACTTCACTGGAAAATGTATTAAATAGAACCAATCAAAGAAAACAAAAGATTTCCAAGGACAAAAAAGCTGTTTTAAAAGGTGTGTTTATAATGTACCGTACCCTTGTCAATGAACTTTTGTTTGCTGTCTTCATCAGAATTGCACGGTGAACCGGAGCCTATAGCAACAACACAGTCTGCATAATAATGTGACACAGCCGATGGGGTCATATGTAACTTTTGGCAACTATATGCATATCAAAGTCAAATTCCTTGTAAATGAAATGCACTTAAGTCAGCACACCTGACTGGGATTCTGATGATGCTTGCAGAATTGTTTTAATTTTTAGCTGTGCTAAAGAATTTTTAAGTATAATAGAGCTTCACGTCCAATGCTCTGGCATTGCAGCATTTGTCAATATGTCTCGTCTATAAGTTGCAGTGTGCAATTTCTGCATGACCAATGGAATTGCATGGGTTTGGCGGGACTTCCAGTTTGTTCAAACCATGCCAACAGGGGTCCCTTAGTTCAGTTTAGTGCTGCAGAAATTACACTTTGCACCTTAAAAGGCACAGTCCACACAAAACGAACATGCTGTCATCATGAACTCAACCTCATGATGTATTAATATTGTTTTATTCTCTTTTGTTAAATACAAGGGGCTAGAATACTTGAAATGCAGACACATTACTAAATTTCACATTTTTGGAGCTTGGCAGTATAAAATGAAAGTGGGTGGTGATTAATGAAAAACAAAGGATTTCTGTTCCTGCCTCCTTAAATGCACGTTTAGAACAACAGAAGAGTGAGTAAATTATGACAGAAGCTTCATGTTTGGGGGAATTGTTCCTTTAAGGGTCTGTCAATCAACTCATCATAAACTACCATCAATCAATGCTCTCAATACATTTTGTTCTACCAGTAAATTTGAGGGAGAAAGAAAGAAGAAAGAAGAAGAGGGAATCTTTACCTGAAGTTGGTGATTTGCATCTCTCCTCTGGTGTGGCTGATGCATCATTACCATCACAAAGACCTGTTGAAACAAACAAGTCTAACCAAACAGCCTGGCTGAATTCACGCAATAAACATCACATAACACTTAAATAACAAATCAACACAAAAATAGACTATAGTATTAAACAAAGAGAAAAAGAAGAATGCAGACAGATATAAAGAGAAGGACAAGACCTTTGATGAGTGCTATGTGACTTACTGAGGTAAGAAGAACGAAGCTTTTTCACAGATTCAGAATAAAAGTTAGAGAGGCCGGACATGCAAGACTTCTTATGCAGAGTGTCTTTACGAAACCACAGAGAGAGACGAATATTGAAAGGGTGAGACAAAACAATGACACAAAATCAAATGAACAGCTAGAAGGCCTTTGAACTGACAGAGTCCAGAGACTGGATTCAGGGCAGATTGGACATTTGTTCTGCCTTTATTATTTTCAATAAACGAGTGAAGTCTAAAAAAAATTATTGACAATAAACGCACAACAATGCACAATATTAGTGGTCAAGATAATGATTACTGCAAGTTAAAAATTTTAATTTTTTGATTATTATACTACCCAATTCCAACAGAACTGGAAGCTTGTTTCCGCCAGATGATTAAAAAAATAAAAAAGGTAATTGTGACTTCTGATTTTTTTTCTATCACAATTCAGACCTTTTTTTTTCTCCCAATTCAGACTGTTTTCTCAGAATTGCAAGATATAACCTCCAATTCAGAGTAAAAATGTCAATTGTGAGATACAAATTGTGAGATCAATTCAGAATTGCGAGAAAAAAAAAAAAAGGACTGAATTGTCAGATAAAAAATCGTAATTATTTTATTACATGGCGGAAATGGACTTCCATACAAAACAGTACAGATGAAAAATTGTGAAGTGATTGATTACTATTAAATAATGAATAAACTGCCTTTTCACATAAACTGGCAAATTGGTCAGATTTTTTGTATCAGTGCATCACTAACAATAACGCAAAATGTCACATGGCCTTAAATTCAGTCTGTTGGCATCTGTGTATTTCAAAGACTGAAACTCAGATGAGTGAACAACAAAAAGAACAAGCAAAGACAGGGGACAGAAAAGAAGAAACACCGGCGCCCCTTTTTGAGCATATGGATCGGATGATTTTCTAAGATCGGTGCAGATGGTTCCTCGGCCAGAGACGACCACCTGCAGTTTGAAGGATGCAGGAGCATCACGGTCCGGAGACTGACACTGCTCAAGATGAGCATGTGCTTTACATTATCAGACAGAAACACAGACTGACAACATGCAGAGGTTATGATTATTAGTAAGAGGATGAAGCTTTCTCTTAGATGTCTGTTCACCTGCCGAGGGCTGTCTGGTTTTGCGGGGCGAGTGTGGTTGTCTGTGGTGAGGATCTGTTGAGCCATACAGCTCTGCTGTGCTCACGTTCAGAAGCAGAGTTTTCTGAAGGTAATCAACCACGGCAAGTCCATTACCATTGCCAAAAGCAACTCTGTAAAACACACAACAGATTCACACTACCGGTCAAAAGTAAGGAATGATTAAGATTTGCACCAATGCAGCATTTATTTGATCAGAAATACAGAAAAAACAATAATATTAAGACACATTATTACAATTTAAAATAACTGTATTTTATTGTAATATATTTTGATGTGTAATTTATTCCTGAGATGCAAAGCTGAATTTTCAGCATCATTACTCCAGTCTTCAGTGTCACATGATCCTTCAGTAATCGTTCTAAATATGCTGATTGCTTTTTTCTTATTATCATTATTATTATTATTGTTATCAATGCTGAAAACGTTTTTTTGCGGCTTAATATTTCTGACAGCTGTGATTTACTTAAGAATTTAAAGTATGGGTATTATGTAAAAAAAAAAATTTGCAGTTAAGTATCTATAAATAAAAAGTAAACTGCTATTTCTTAGCTTTAACAGTTTGCTTTACAACATTTGCGCAGCATTCATTTAAATCACAATTTCTCAAGGCTTCAGAACACACCAGATGTTAAACTGAAATCTCCATCCTGAAACCTGAAAATATTCAACTTTAAATTCAGCAACAGTTGATTTTACGATTATTTGACATTTGTTTGTATATAGTTATTAACAGACTGATAGATTTTATAGACTTGAATATCAAATTCAAAAATCTTTAGCGATGGTATATAAGATATAAGAGCATATTGTGGCTCATTACATTTGTGAAATGTGCATTTCAATAGTGTTCAAGTAGTTCAAATTCTTAATTATTGTAATAAAGAACAATTATTCAAGCATGGCTGCTAGGCTTTAATATGATGGATCATGACACATAAAACTTGTCTGAAAGATAATGAACAGCTGTTGTGGAAAGGAGGTGTTTTTAAATGCTCAGTAAACACATCATATATGCGGTAAATGAGCTACTTGAATTTCAGCGGAGACCAGGACAACTAGATGAGCCCCAGAGACAGATCCCCAGTGAAGACCTTGTCTCCTAGACGGATAGAAGATAAGCATGTTTACTGAATAACATTAATACTTAAAATTATATCTATGAAATGATTAAATGATATTACATCATTTATTTGTTTACATATTTTATATTTCATATATCTTAAAAGTTTTTACAATCTTTCTTATTACAATTACATCAAGCTCTGCAATCTGGAAATGTGGATATCGCGTGCGCCATAACACCAACAGCAGAACGGTTATCCAAACAACAAAAAAATGTGCAACACTCGCGTTACAGTGTGTGTATTCACACACATACTTGATGCTATCTACCTTTACATTAGTGACAGTAACTGGGCTGTTAGCTGTTAGCTGCAGAGCTAATGTTAAAGCCACATTCTAAGGATAACAAGCTAGGTAACCATATACAGTAAAGCAACAAAATTGTATAGCGTTAGTTGACTTACTTGTCCGAGGTTTGTAGCTGAGCCAAGGAGAGTTGGTACTGATCCAGACTTTATTTTCAGACGTTCAGCAAGGCCAGCTCTGTATTGGCCCAAGTTGAGGAAACAGTCGTCGGTGAAATGTTTGGCGCAGACATACAAAACTTTGGGAAGTTGTGTCGGCGCATTACCAGAGAAAATAAAATTAACCCACTGTTTCTTCATAGGCTCGGATGAAGGAACTAAAAAAATACTTCGGTGTTCATTTGTACATCCAAACACTGAGCAACTGCCATGCTTCGCTCGTTTGCAAGCCATGATGTCTCTCGAGGAAAAAAAAAATATTGCACTCGCCTGGCACTGTAGTAGCTCATTTTCTCATGGGCGGGCCAAATTCTCTGGGCGGGCAAAGCAGAGAAAGGGGAGGTAACCTTTCCCCGTATGACGACATAAAGGGAAGATTCCAGATTGGGCCATCTGAGCTTTCATTTTCTCAAAGGCAAAGCAGGATACCCAGGGCTCGGTTTACACCTATCGCCATTTCTAGCCACTGGGGGACCATAGGCAGGCTAGGGGAACTTATATTAATGTTAAAAAACCTCATAAAGTGAAATTTTCATGCCATGGGACCTTTAACTGAAAATTGAGTGTTTACTGTTGTCCTATTGCATTGACACACTATTTTCCTATTTGATACTGTAAAGCTGCTTTGACACAATCTGTATTGTTAAAAGCGCTATATAAATAAAGGTGACTTGACTTGACTAGTGTTGTCGTTTCGTGAACTTACAGGCCATATGCAGAGTTGACGGCCAGGCTGGTGATCTGTTGTGGCGGCTCCCCGCTGACCCACACCAGCTGAATGAGCAGCTCCACCTGGTAACCCGGAGACTGTTTGAGAGGAGAACTCCTGACCCTGGCCAAGTAAGACACAGGACACAATTAACTACATGCTAATATAAGCACAGACCAAATCATGTGGTCAAAATCACACAAGAAAAGACCATTTCATTAACATGTGAAGCGACCAAAGTCTGAAGTTTATGTTTGTTGTTTTTACATGCTGCTTCGGGACGAGTAAATCTGAAATAGATGAAAACAGACTGTACTTGAGACAGGGCACATTATCTCGCAGGCCGTCAGACGAGTTGTTGCTGCTGGTGGAGGGGTGGGACTGAGGCAGGCTGGTCTGAGGGCTGGATGAGGTTCCTGGGGTGGAAACAGCTGACGCCTGCTCGCCTCCGCCCTCGGGAGACTCCACTTCATTCAGCTCACACTGCATACGCACCTCCAGGAGCTGCAGACACAAGACAACTGTCATCAAATCTATACAATCATGTGCATGTTCACAGATGAAGATACAGATTTCCATGCATTTAATGGCCAAAAAAATGATTAAGTCAGGGTTATAAAGGCAGTTGACATGAAAGTAATTGTACTCTGCTCATAAGAAAACAGTCAATTCATTTTTCTCATACATTTTCTTCAGTTTGTCCATAAACACAATTACCTATGCAAGTCATTTCATATTTTAGCATTTTCAACAAAACTGACTGTCCTCATCTTGAACTGTGAGATACAGAAAAGTATTAAAATGAATGATATGGACAGAAATGATATGGATAGAAAATGAATGTGAAAAGAGGCTCCGCCCCCTGAGTGTGTAAGGGGAAACAGAGAGAAGGGGGGTTGGAAGAGTGCCTCGCTGGTTCAAGGCGGTTCTCTTAGAAGTCGGGGTGTGTACGGCGTGGGTTGTTGCCGACAACAGCCCAAATAAACACCCCTTTTGCATCAAAACGCCTCATCCTTGTCTGAGAACGTTACAATATATTAGCCTTATCTTATTATTCATTTTTTAAATTATTCTAGGTGTTGAAATTATTTTAGAGGTTGACTCTACAAATGAATTTACATATTACCTTGAAAAAATATTTTATATTAATTTGAATTCTATATTATTATTTTTTAAGGTAATATGTAGTCATAAGTCAAAAATCTAAAAACACAAAGAAATCTCCGTAACTCCCAGAAACAATTGAAGGACACCTAACAAGTACAAAATTAAGAAAAAGAAACAGAGGGACAAACAAAGGAATATCTGGCGGAAAAGAAAATATATAGAAGGGACATTAGATTGAACTGCATATGGTAACACTGTTATTAACTGTTATAATGAAATATTAACATTTCGACATTTATATACACAGACTTCTCTTGTAAAGTGACTCACCAAATTAATTTCTAATTGAGAAATTTCTTGGGGAGCTTTAATATTATATAATATTGCTAATACACAGACAGGAAGATATTCTCCAGGCTTATAAGTATAAAGAAGAGTTTTAGCCACTGTTAAATATATTTGTAATATATATGTAGAGCTACTTCCATGTTTATTTATTCAGTCCTACGGTGTGACACCTCCTCATTAAAAAACAAGGTTTTTAGCATTAATAAGCATAAATAAGTGAGAGCTTTACTCATTTGTGTGGATGCAGCATATGGTATTCTAACTGTTGGAAAACATGTGTCAAAACAACTGCATGCTTAATGAAATATCCTGCAGTGTGCATACTAAACTCCATCTAAAACGGCTTTAAACAGCATTTTTATAATTGCATTATAATCACCATGCAGTTTTTAGGACCTCATATTAATATTAAGCATTTGTCACATAGCAAGACCATTTAAAATGAACTTGTTAAATGAAATCAATGAAATGTACCTTAGACAAATCTATACATTTTAAACGAATATCTTGTTCATTTGTTCACTGCACATATATACATACATCCTGCACATTTACACATATATACATGCATTTAAATGGGTCAGACCTGAACCACTTCAGTGGTGACTTCCTGTTTGCTGAACCTGTAGACTATGACATGAGCCGATACTCCAGCCACACAGAGCACACGGCTCTCTGGACACCAGGACAGAATCTGGATGGCAGGAATGACTTCAGCTGGACAGTCCGCAAAATATTCGCAGCAGGTCACTGGAGACTCGTGGATGGACAGAGGATATGGATTCTCAAAGATCGGATACCTGCGCAGAGAGGTTTTTATAAAACAGCTGCACAAACCAAGACAGTGTTTATAACGTGTGGCATTTACTCACCCAATTTGTGCAAGGTCAATGACAACCAAATCCTTCTCCAGCAGGACAACAACCGCATAAGGCTCCTGGAAATCTGTGGGGATACAGAAGGAACAGCACTTAAATTTCAACAAAATACCACTTATTATTCTTATTTATTTAGTGAAAAAAATGTTTTTGATCAATTTTGATACTGTTAATTATACAGTAAACGTTATGGAAGAAAATCCAGCAACAGGTGGGGCAGTGACTTGCCGTTTGGATATGGGGTTTCACACAGCGTAAAGAAATCCACTATGGGGTAGTCCATCTCCAGCACTGCAGTGCTTTTCCCATGCATCACAGTCAGACAGGCTCGCCTACCCACTGTATCATATGACAAACCTCCACACAGTATCATGAATGGGTCCCTTAACAAAACAAATGAACAAATCTCATTTTTCCATGATGCAAAGAGAAGCCAAGCCGGAAGTGAAACAAATGAGTGCTTCATCCAGAAAGAGTGGAATGAAAAAAATGATTAAAAGCAATACAAAATGTACTGTCATATTAGCTGTATATTTTATGTCGGTCTTCTGAAAAACATCATGTCATCCCGTAAAACCCATAAAACCGAAGCATCTATGCCAGACAGTCTCTCGCAATGCCAGGTTGCACAAGTCTCAAACCAATGCATCATGCTCTGTTTGCTTCCTGAATGCAACCCTGAGTAAATGTATTGTCATAGTAGCTGTATATTTTGTCAGTCTTCTGAAAAACATCATGTCATCCCCGTAAAACCCATAAAACAGAAGCACCTATACCAGACAGTCAACGTGTGCAATGCATCATGCTCTGTTTGCTTCCTGAATGCAACCCTGAGTTCAGCTTCCTCTGAGGCCTTACCCTGCCCTGGTAGTTTTGTACTCCACTTTCAAGATGGGTTTGCAAGGCTCTGGCTTCTTTCCATCCTTGGGCTGTTTACCTGGGAGAGAATATTGCATGGTAAACAAGGTGTGCAAATAAATATGCCTTCATGTATTTTATTTCCTTTTCTATCACCAGTCTCTGTATAGTCTTATCATGGGAACCACAATAAATTAAGTGTAGAAAACTTTAGGCACATCATGGTTTAATTTTAATTCATTTGATTCTAATTAGATTCCAAAACCATTTTCGGTGCATCTACTAACTCATTTTAAAAATAATAACATTTTCAATTTTAATGATTTATTTCTGTAAACAGATTCTGCACTTTTGATAAAGAATCATGATGCACATGTAAATAGATTATTTTGCTTCACCCTTACTAAGGATTTGAATTTCTTCAGTGAAAAATCTGCAGTATTAAAGCTGAATTTTGTAATTTTTTGGAGGTTGAAACACATTCACACAGTGAAACACAATGAAACAGTTTTTAGAAGCAGAGGTTGTCATGGCTGTGCAAACTTCTATAGTGGTGAACAACAACAACAAATATAATTTTTTCTCACCCATTTGCACCAATAGCAAAAATCCATGTATCTATGACTTTACAAATGAGGAAAAAAGTATAGTGAGATTGATTACATTGGTCAGAGAAGAGAAAGATGTCAAATTTGCAATCACACCCTTAGCCGCTGTGTTAGAAACACTCACGCTGTTAAGGCTTGTTCACACCGGGACGAATATCGCGCGCGATTATCGCCGACGTTTAACGCGCAAAACGCGAGGCGTAAAAGCGTAATTTATGATTTATGATTAATTTATTTACTGCTGAAGTTACAGTAAAACACGACTTGGTGGCGCTCAAGCACAAAACGGTCTTGCTGAGCACACATTGATACCTAACGACGAAGAGGAAGTAAGTAGACTCCCTGAAGCGCTCAACCTGAGGAACTTGGAAGGGAGTTTGTTTGGGCAGAAGCTTACCATGCGGCGTAATGATCTGGGCAGGCTTGGCAGGAGCGCGTATATTCCATGTGGTAAGCGTGCCATCTGAGTGACTGCACACAAACTGTTTCCCCTCGTGATGCCAAGCCACAGAGTGGATCGCCTACAGGCCAAACAAAAGATGAGTAATCAACCACAAGAGAAACCAGGTCAGGCAAACTACGGTTCATGGGTTGTGACAGCACATATGAGTCAACAATAATAAACATAACAAACATCTTAGTTCCGTTCCTCATTGATAACACAAACGCTTCTGAAAAAAGTTACTTCCTGTAAACTAGAGTTGTTTATTTGAGTACTCAACAGATATATCAAGTGATCTGTCCATTTAGCCACATGTCACCATATGCATGGTAAAAAAAAATTTTTTCGATGTTGTAAATAACACAAAGGTTACTGGAGTCTGCGTCACAAAAAAAAAATACTATTTCAAAATGTTTGATTATATTTCAATATGGCCATAAAATAATGATAATTATTATTACTACTAAAATAAAACATAAAATTAAAAACAAAATGTAAAATAAAAAAAGAGCATTTAAGAAGAAGAATTTTATTTTACATTACTATAACAGGAAGGATGGAAGGATGGCTGGAATTGTACAGCTGTTAATATATTTTAAAGTAAAGTTTACTGCATTAAATAGAATAACATGAAATAACTGTTGTGTTTTTGTGATCAGTCACTACTGTCACATCTGACAGTACTTGGAGTACATCCCATCTCTACTGGAGACCTTCCTTCCTTCCTTACAGAACGAGAGTAAGTCGTTTCGCTTTAAACAATGCTCTAAGTTTGTCCCCCACCTGCATATCCTACCGTAACAGTCTCACCTCGTCATAGTTGTACCGACAGTCAGCCTTCTTCGATTTCAAGTCCCACAGCACAACTATGCCACACTCAAAACCAATTAAAAGCTGCAAAAAAGAGACACAACTTTTCTGAAATGATGCAATTTGACAGCTGAGCAATCAAAAAGGGTTCTGTGGGAATATACTTAATCCCAAAGGGTCAAGGTTTCGTACTTTCCCTTCGTCCATAGGGTTATCGCTGATATGAACTACAGGTCCAGGGTGAGTCTTTGAGGAACTGTTGAAGAGAGGTGACAGTTTATGAGGAAAATATTTCGAGGTGGTATGCAGAGATCATGCATGATGACCTTGAGTAAATATTTGTACATAAGACCTTTAATTAAAATCTCCCAAACCCAACAGTAGAAGAAAACACATGAGAATCACTGAAGTTCACGGTGTCTAGACACTCACAGTTCGATGGCTTTGTTCCACATGATCACATATCCTGAGAGGGTGAAGGACTCCACATTGACAATGTGAATGTTCCCTCTTTCAGTGCCCACGTACAGCCATTTACTCTGAAACGGCAAATGGCAAAACGTGATCCTGCCAAAGACAAGGAGAGAGCTGACCTTAATCAAAGTGAAATATCCCGCGATTATCTCATACGATGGCGAACATTTGACTGATCTGTGCCTCGTGACACATTAAGGATGAAATGGCAATAACAGCAGAGTGAAATCTGGCAAAATGAATGAGTCACGGTTGATAAATCATCTGGTATTACTGTGGACGACTGTGCATTACTGCCATTGTGTGTCTTCTGAATGGGACACCAATCAAGACTACATGCAACTGAGGACACTTGAGAACATTGTCCTGCCCTCTTGTCTCTGAACAAACATTCATTTCAAGCCTTCACATGGTCTGTGTATTAACAGAAAATGTAGAAACTCAAAGTACATTGCTATTTATAAACGACAAAAACTTTGAAAGACCAGGTAAGGCCAACATTTGTATTTTCTGAAGAAAATGTGAGTGGTGTTTGCCTGGGCTGCCACAAAAGCACAAAAGCTTCTCTTTTGTTGATAAGTGCCTCTCATCAAGTAAGAGATTGATGTGTTCCCAAATGCATGTTAAAGCGACCCATTCTCAGAGCAGATGATATATATATAATTTGCACATCGATAAGCACACCAAGTCATATCACAACAGTTGCGCATGGTTTATTTGTATACAGGATGCTTACCTCTCCCGATTAAATTTAAGAGAATGAAGGATGGCTGGAAGTTTTTGCCTCAGATTCCACAAATGAATACTGTCATCTGCCAAAGCACTAACCAGCGCCCCCTATGGACCAAACAAACAAGAACACAATAAAGGACTAAGGCCCAATCCCAATTCTATTTTATTCCCCTTCCCCTTGTCCCGCGAAACGGAGGGGAAAGGGGAAGGGCTAAGGGGTAGAATTGGGACTGGGCCTAAAGAGCTCTATATTTGTAATTCATTACATTTTGAACAGATTAAAAGACTAAACATTCAACCAAAAGCTACAGGCAATGTCAGGGAGAGGGATAAGACCTGGAGAAAGTAAGAAAGAGGAAATGTCTATACAGATGGTCAGGGCAGAACTCACTTCATTGACAAGAAACTCCAACTGGATGACAGCCGATCCGCTCTCATGCTGGCAGTAACACTCCACTCCTGCTCGGCCGAATCTGTAGGCTCAGTTAAGGTACATACATCTCTGAACACCTCAGAGTCCCTGTTAAATGTGCTGAACACAGGATATGATGACTAGTGTATAAAAATGTATTGCATAATTAAAGGGATATTTCACTCACTCTCATCTACTTCCAACACGGTATTTTTTTCTTTCGAGATGAGATGTTAGGCAGAATGTCCAAGCTGCAATTTGCATTCAACAAAACTAGATGGTGATTTTTACCGCCAAGCTCCAAAAAGTAATTCATATGCTTTCAATTCTTTAGAAATCATACAATGTTTTGTGTAAGAACTAGTTGACTTCAATTTTTATTACTCTTACACGTGTTTACTTATTGTCAAATATGTCAAATATGAGAAAAACATCTTGGAGCTTTGCAGTAAAAATCATCAGTTTTCATTACATAGAGAACAGCTCAAACTTTTTGATCAAGATTCTCTTTTTGTGTTTAAGAAAGAAAGAAAAAAAATACAGGTTGAATTACAATAGATAGACTATAATACTTTACTGCATGACTATATAAATAAACTGCAAAAAGTCACAGCATCTGAAAATATACACCTTCATATACATTTTAACATAAAAACTAGATGTTGAGAAAAAAAGTCTCTCAACATGTTCATGTTACTTCTCAACTACCCACAGACAATGTAAATAAGCCACCAAGGTTCGGCGCTAGAGGGAATCTGTGTTCCCAGAGGTCTGAGAGTCATATTACCGAGGGTCTTGTCCATTGACTTAACTAAATGGATTATACAAAGTCTTTAATCAGAGTCTTAAGTCTTGTCAGTGAATGCTGCTTCAGCCCTCTGGAGTAATGCACTGTAAATGCTCCCATAAACCCCTTCTCCAGCAGGACAACAACGACTGTCTCAGTCAAACAGTCATTCATATTCACCAGCACTGTGTTGCATTGCATGCTTTCTATGTGCATTTAGGCACAAATGCAAGTTCTGTTCCATATCAGGTTGCAGATTCCAGTGTTTCGTAATAGGTGAGGAAATTGTTATGTTGTTGGATGTTTACGCTAACAAGAGTTCTTTCAAATCTGTTTGATCGTAATATTATCCAAAGAAAACCCACAGATACTTTATAGTGTTCACTTTTATAAAGGTTCCAAAACGGAGTTTTCTCAGCAATGCCATTATGCAGGATGCAAGAACCATTATGGGTTCTCCAAACAACCTTTCATTAAATAGTTCTTAAAAAATAACCATTAGAAGAACATTTTAATAGCCTAAAGAACCTTTTTCGACTGTAAAGAACATTTTGTCGAATGGAAATGGTTCCAATGGATGTTAAAAGTTGTTCATGGAAACATAGATGCCAATTAATACAAAATAGGCGAGTGAAAAGAGCCTGTGTGACCCAGGGGCGAAGGCTATCTCACTCTAGCAATATCCTCAGATCAGAAAGCTTCTTATCTGCCAAGAAGAATCACTGCAAAACAACATATGGGCGCTGTATGTTGTTACCTCAGGACATCTAACACACTTCTCATGCCAGGGAATGAATGCTAAAATAGTTGACACTATAAACAGGAAATGGGTTTCTCGTCCGTATTGAATCAGTGGTTTCCTGCAGCAGTGTGCTAATTTCCTCTTGAGTGACTTACAACTGTGAAGACATATTTATAAGACCTGAGAGCCTTACAAGTACACAGAACCGGCTTAAAGTATTTGAAGCTTGACAGTAGGCCTGTCGCAATAATCAATATATCGGCTTATCGCGCAATATATGTACATGACCTCAATCATTTTTGGTGACGCAATATATCGGCCATTATATTTACTTAAAAATTAATGTTTAAACACCATGTTTTGTACATTCCACTTGCGCCTGTGTTTTTTGCAGCTTCTCGTACATAACGTGGTGTAGTTCAGCTTATCGCAATTATTTCTGGGGCAATATATCGCACAACAAAAAGTTGTTATCGTGACTGGCCGACTTGACAGCATCTAATACGTTAACTCGGTGTTCTTCAATCACACGCATCCTACCACCACTGCAAGCTAATGCATCTCTGTTAAACAGATCAATTATGGTAAACAGCATTGGTAATACTTTGCACAGGAAAAGAGCCATTACACTGAAGATGAACGCTCACCTTGCTGACGCGACCGTTTGCGAACAAGACAGCGCCAGAGAGTGCAAGAGGGCAATAAACTAAAAACAAGACGAAACTATGGCCTGTTTCATGCATTTAGTCACGTTAATATTTCACAGCTTCTTCATAAAACACACTAGAGATTCACTGATCTAGAAACTTGCAATTGCTCAGCCACTTTTAAATTGGGTTCAAATCTCTAACCTACCAATTTATATCCTTAAATATTACAAATTTAGTAAGATACCAGAAAATCATAAAAAGTCAAGCTTTTTTTTTTTTTTACTTCCCTGCAGCCTCAGCCCTTATTAATCATAGAGACAAAATTAGAAAAACAGATACATGAGATATTATGGACATCAAAAGCTGACAGGAACTTCAGAGGAGAGGAGAACTGGTCCCCCGACTGAGCCTGGTTTCTCCCAAGGTTTTTTCTCCATTCTGTCACCGATGGAGTTTTGGTTCCTTGCCGCTGTCGCCTCTGGCTTGCTTAGTTGGGGACACTTCATTTCCAGCGATATTGTTGACTTGATTGCAAATGATTGCAAAGATACTATTTAAACTGAACTGAGCTGAATGAAGACATCACTGAATTCAATGATGAACTGTCTTTAACTGGAAAATTAGTGTTTACTATTGTCATTTTGCATTATTGACACACTATTTTCCTAATTAATGCTGTTCAGTTGCTTTGACACAATCTGTATTGTTAAAAGCGCTATATAAATAAAGGTGACTTGACTTGACTTGACAGGAACTTCAACATTTCAGCTGTAATTTTTGCAATGGCATGCACCAGCATTTTTTTATGGAAGCTAACCAGGACTATGGAAAAACTATATTGTTTTGGTCTGTTGTGTAGAACAAACAGTGTTCTACTATATTACGTTATTTTGAAGGAAAATCGAACATAGAAATATTTAATGAAAGAATGACAGAAAAGGCGGCTCAGTGTTTGTGTGACTTATATTTACTTGTGTAAATACTGGGAGGCCTCACTGTCGAAGAACTTTACTACAACTGGCATACTGAGTTCAATTACCCAAATGTAATTACCAAAACATTATTTTCTGCTAAATGAATAAATGTAAAACTTTATTATCAGTTTCAGTTTTCAGGTAAAATTTTCATTTCGGTGCATCATTATAGGGGATAGCATTTGGCTCTCTCCTACATTCAATTCTTGAGATGCGCTGATGGGAAACCAAACAGGGATGTTTACACAGCAGACTCGCCTTCAACATATTTGGCAAATGGACAATAAATAACAGAGGGCTGTTATAAATAAGTTGCAGTGGACCACTGACTCATTATTTATTCATAACTGTAAGCATCAAGCCCTTGACCAGCCAGTTTCTCCTCCGCTTAAGCTCTCTGTGGCACTGGATCAGAGCCCAGGGTCAGACAGCAGCTCTTCACATTCCCTGGGATCTGAAGCCCAACCGAACAAACAGATCGCTGTTCGATTCTATTACTGGATATAATGATCACCACAAACCAGCAAATAACACGTTTGCAAGAGACACGCAGAAGCTATAGAACTAAAGATAAATGCTGTCAAATATATACATATTAAAGTTTTCATTTACCCGAAAACCAAAAAAATTTACATTTACATTTATTCATTTAGCAGACGCTTTTATCCAAAGCGACTTACAACTGACATACAAGTTTTGGTAATTGAATTTAGGTAACTCTGTATGCTGTTCAGGGTGCCGTGTTCTCGGGTGATATGAGTCAAAGACGAAAAAATATGAATATTAGAATGTGTCCTGTTTCATTTGATATTTTCCTGAGCAAAAAGTAATGACTATCATAGATTTTTACCATGATTTACAGAATAAACCCACTTTGCCACTATCTTTAAAACTACTAGGTTTTACCAATTTGTCAGCGGGAAGTTTTTAAAATATATTAAATTAAATTAAAATATAATCAAATTTAGTATGATCAATAATTATTTTAAGTATTTAACAAGTACAGATCAGAATAAGCATGTTGTTTCATTTTTACATAAATATATCTGTTAAACTGAATGACAATTGAACATTATTTCACCCATATTTTCACAAAAGTTATTTGAAACATTAAAATCACTTTTCTTGCATTTAATAAGCTTTTTATGTATATAAAGTCACTTTTGTAAATGTTATTTGATGCAGGCACCAAAATGGGACGTCTCATCTTTGACCCATATAGCTATATTAAGTTGCAGACACTAATGTCATCATTAATGAAAATTTCTATGAAAACAAAACGTACCAGTGAACAAAAATATTTTTCCTGAAATTAAATTACTGGAATTAAAATAAAATAAAATAAATAAAAATGTAATAAAAATGCATGCAATAGACATTTTTAAAAAATCTAACAAAAAAAATCTAAACTAACACTTCATTATGAACAAAAACAGATCAGAATGCATTTGCCCTATTGTTGTTGTTTTTGTTTTTTTTTCAACAAATGACTAACACTTGGTTGCATACTGGTGAATTATTGTTCTATTTAAATTCACCAATAAATATACATTGTGGGGAAAAAGTTAACGGACTGGTTGCATAAAATGTCAGTCAAATGGCCACTTCCTGTCTAAGTGGGCAATTCTTTGCCAAAATACAGCATAGTGTGTGAGAATAACTTTAAACAGACCATCCACTAAACACAGGCTTGAGATGAAAGCTGGAAAAGATAATTACATGTGCATACGTAAGGATCTGGATTCACTCAAATTAAACATTCCAGCTGGGTTTCAAACTAGGGCCACTTTACAATGAGTCAGTTTGGGGCCAAAACAAAAAATCACTGTCCTGTAGAGCAGAACTTTGCTGATCTGTGAGGTTCCATCTGTATAAACTGGCCTAAAAAACACAAAGTTACTCTTTGTG